TAATTAACTAACAATGAACGCATAACAAATATAATAATCAATTGACCAATTTGGGTGAAAACTGTGAGTAAATGGAAAGAAAACCGATTATCCTAGCAATTTGTTTCCAGCAAACATCTACATTTTATTTTTGCATTTGCCAGCAGAAAATAATGTATGGGCGATACATGAATTGGTAATGCATAATCAAACATTCTAATTCATACAGTCTCGATCATGAATACTCTAATAAATGCACTGTATAATACGCCACTTTACATAATAAAGATGCACTCTCTCGCTTGAGACGTTTTGGTCCGGTCTCTAAAAAATTGTCCTAACTGGGTTTTACCGCACATTTTTTCAAATTTTCTAGATTTTGCTAGTAAATAATATTCATTGTAAAATTTATATATTTTATTCATGAAGCACAAAGCAAACCATGAACAGTGATCTCATAAAGGCAATGGTTAAAAACGAATTCGGCGAATTCACTGTCAAAAGATTTGTTGAAAATGTTCATAAGCCATCCGAACGTTCGTCCATTGTAGCTAAATTGTTATGGCATTGTTTGGCTTTTGGCAGATATCTGCTATTTGTACTGACAACAGAAATAATACACAATACAGCACATATGAAGCACAAAGATATTCGGCTGAGCGTACTCGTATATCCATTATTATTATGGCTAGTGCAATGCCGAGTGTTTAGGATGATCAAAAGCGATTCAGATTCATGTTTGCGGGCGAAGCAACGATTCACGGATTAGAGAATTTGCCGAATCACTTAATCGTTTTTGTATTTAAAAATTTAACTAAAAAGTGTTTCGATTTCTCGTTATAACAATTATTATTAGAACTAAACAAATTCAAGTTAAAAATTCACTCAATAATTTTTCTTCCCGTACCCAAAATTATTATTTGATTTGAAAAAATTTGATTTTTTTTATACTTTTAAATATTTTGGAAATTTTCAGCAAGCAAAACCGCGATAGGTTAGCTGCGTAGAAACGAAATATCAAAGCGCGTGAGCGCCGCGTCGCTGTCTAATGGATAAAAATTAGTACGGAAACAATGGAAATGTGAATAAAATAAGTAAAATATCTGATAATTTGATGTGCATATGTCTAATGACAATTTTTGTCCGCGAAATGTCTTTTCTTTATTTTTAATAGGATTTTCAAAACCGGTAAGTCTGCCACCCCAAAATTTACATCAGATCTTCATTTTGTCAATACAAATGAAATGTATTTTGAATTATACAAATCGGACCCTTCGTTCTCTCAAAAATTTGATTACCATTTTTGGCACTTTTTGCCCCGTTTGTTCGGAACGGCTAGACCTGTCTTTGCCAAAAACTAATCAACATGTTTCTTTATCAATATCAATCGTACGCTTTTTGAATTACAAATCAATTGATCCGTGTTCTCGAAATCGTCGACGAAAAATTGTATCCGTATATACATACACGCACACACACACATCATATACTTCGTATGAATTTCTGTCTAGAAATTCTTATTCAATATCATACATTTATAAGTTAAATTTTTAACGAGAGCTTATATAGTTTATTTCAGCGCTGAATTATCATTCTTCTAGTTGATGAATCTCCGTCACATTATTGGAATTATAAAAGAGATTAATTCAATGAGGTTTATCTTCAGCGCTAGAATTAATAAAATTCAATAGAATTTTAGTTATTATATTTAGATTTAAAAGATTTAATAAAATTTATTACAATGTGGGTCTTCAATATTATAGGCTGGAGACAATATTTTTGATGTATACATATTAAATTATATATATATATATATATATATATATATATATATATATATATTTTAACTTACTAAATTCAAAATTATCAATTTTTCCAAATTACCTTTCAGCTTGAAGCTCAATATCAAAGAGTCATTTTCTCATCCAATGCAATTCTCACAAAACTTTTAATTATAGGTGCTGATTCAGTCGGCATTTATTATCAATTTTTAAATTATTCGCTAGTAGTTTTTATGACAAATCCTGAAATAAAAAGATGCATATAATTGTAAATCAAATACCAGTACGTATAACTTATAAAGCAGTATTTATTTTATTTCGACTTCATTAGTACTGACAAAGTTAATTTTATAAAATAAGTACTGTGCTAACTATAAATCCAAAGCCCTTACAGTAGCTGTGATTATGTAACTTTGATAAAGTTTTGTAAATGATGTCGGCGTTAATTACAAAAATATTTTTGTATAATACATAGAGCATGTTTTTTATAAATTAAATGACATCATTATATAGTATTAGTACCGTTAATGTGATCCGTGAGCATAGTTTTAAATTCCTTACGGTCTACATAAATACTTGCAGTCACAATATACCCGTTGTTAACTCGACTGTACTTCATTTCGAGAAAAATTTATTTAAAAAGGATTAGTGAAAGATCATTCTCAAATCTCATTTATTTAGATAGTATTTCCAAATTTCTCATAAAACAATAAAAAAACGAAACACATATATTGCGTACTATTAACTTATGATTTTTTAAATTAGTATTTTGTGAAATATTGTTCAATTACAAGTTTAACGTTTATATTACATATTGTCGTGTATTTCCGTTTACTGATACCATGGATTATAGAATGTTCCTTTATAACAATAAAATTAACTAATTGTAAGTACTTTTTACTCTTCATGATTTTTTTCAATTTAAATTTTATTTTTAATTTTTAGTGAATGAAGACTAGAATTATTATTCTTAAAAGAAATTATGTTTTTTTTATTGATAGTATGCCTGATAATTGGATTTTATTAATATACATATTTAGTATATTTCGTCTGTGTGCATGTATGAATGTCTAAAATATAAAATTTATTATCTTGTTAATACGCTTTATCTCAAATGTATCTGCTTGTAAATGTAAAACCTATAAATCTGTATTAAAACAATTAAGAATCACTTAAATATATTTTACGATTAAACTCATTGAATATTTCGAGCTGTTCTTCATTGAAGCAATAGCAAAATAATACTGTAACTATTATCAAAATTTCCAAACAATTCTAGATTAATATATTTATATTTATATTTTGGATACAGGATTAAATTCCAGAAATAAATTATGTTAATTTACTACAGAAAATAATTACGGAAAATAAATTATGTTAATTGTATTAACACTAAAACAATATTAAGCCTAACATTAGTATTATGTAATGCAATAGCTTAAAGAAAAAATGTTATAATATTGAGATAGTTTATTTAATGCACGATGTAAACGATTGTCCTTGCTGATTTGATTTTTAGCTGTTTTCTTGTAATTATTTTAATAAAGTTATCATATTTTATATGAACCCACATATGGATGTGGTTTATTGTTATTAACTTTTTAGAATACATTGAATACAGGTTATCTTATGTCAGATTTTTAACCATGAATTTAATTTACACAACTGTTTGAAATTCTACATTCTTTGATAGATATATAATATTCACATTCAAACTTCTTTCTTAAAGTTCTAATTCAATTTCATTCATTGTTGAATTTTTAACGAGAGTTCATATAATTCATTTTACCGCTCAATTATTATTTTTCCAGTTGTTGAATCTTCGTCAAATCATTTGAATTGTAAAATAAATTAATTTAGTATTATTCTTATCTTTCAACTTCAGCGTTACAATGAATTAAATATAAAATTTCAAATATTCTATGAACTATTTGCAATAATTAATTTACGTAGATATTGGAAAAGTCATTTGCTAATTTATTTATTACTAGCTGTATCCTTTCACGCTCCGCCGTGTTCTAATTTCAATTAAAAATTTGAATAAAAATCCACATTTATTACATCTAGTCTACCAGTTTTTTTTTGTCTTTCACTCTATCTGTCTACCTCTCTACCTTTCTACAAGTTTACCTGTCTACCAGTTTATCTGTACCAAAAATAAAGTTAGAAAAAATTATTTTGTACAGATAGTAATAAATTACTTTATTGAATTATAATGAATATTAGTATCTTTGAATTAAAGTTATTACTATAGGTAAATTTAAAAGAGCATTAAGCATAGGGTGCTTCAAAATATGTGAGACTTTAACTAGGAATGTTAAAATTATTTATTTGAAGTAAATGAGCTTTAGAACTTTAGCCAGAATTAACATTAAAATCTGCATTATTTTCGATTTTGAAATATTTTTTGAATTTTGAATCATTCAAATCAGATGCTTAGGTCTCTCAAAAACTGCCATTTTTTTCACAATTAGCTCGGTATCTCCAAAACGGCTGGACCTGCTTTTTCCAAAAACTGAACGCAACTTCTCCCAATCATTACAAATTAACTGTTTTTAAGATGATTCAAATCAAATACTCCGTTCTCTCAAAAACTCGATTTGTATTTTCTGCACTCTTTGCTCAGTATCTCCGTAACGGCTGGACCTGCCTTTGCCAAAAACTAATCAGCACATATCCCTATCAATAGGAATCGAATGCTTTTTGAACCATTCAAATCGGTTGATCCATGCGCCCGAAACGTGGACGAAAAAATGCGGACACACAAAACACACACATCTATTTTTCTGATGTATGGCCAAAATGTTCAGAAACCATTACCTTAACTACCATACGGGCAGTTAAAAATATTATTGTTAATGATACTTTCGTTAAACCTTCTTTATCCCAGTTATTCATGTATTGCTTGAAATTTTGAAATATTTGCTAAAATATAATAAATTATAGATTTCGCAAAATTTAATAAAGATACATAAACAGATTGATATCCGAAACCTTTTCCTAATAGATCCGTAACGAAAGGCAAACGTCAAACCCCCGGCATTCGGAAACAAAATCTACCTAATAGTTTTGGGTCAATTCTGACAGTTATGTTCACAGGGCGGGTGAGGGTTGAATTTCAATTAATACATATAGTAATTGATAGGGAAAACCAAAACTACGTATCACAAAATCCATTTGGGCTTTGATTGTATTATGAATGCGAAGTGAAAAATTAAATATCAGTAGCACAATATCAAAATGGAAATTATACCAATATCTTGGGTCCCTCCGCCCCCAGAAGGGACAGAGGGACTTGTATTATATAGGGAATGGGGATATTTCCTGAAAACCAGAGAAATGTATTATCAATCTATGATGGCATTCGATCATGCAATTCGCATAAATGTAAGTAGATATTAATTGTAATAAACCGATTTAAAAAAATTTAGTATTTTTGTTTATATATTAGGGTTGTCCTTAATATGGACATTTCTGAATTTCCTTGTTTCCAAGGGCTCAAATGGTTCCTAATTATTAAGAAACAATTCTCTGAAAGTTTTAGCTCTTAATATTTTTGTCTTTTGTCTTTTGATAGAGCGCAATTCAATTAAAGTTTTGTATGGAAATAGCATGAAAATTTTTTCAAAAATTTTGCCGAGCGTCGAATTTTCAATAAAAAATGACAGGAATTTTTACTTTTAAATTCATTTGTTGCTTAGTTATACCTGGAATTTTTTTTTTTAATTTTCAATTTTTTTTCCATGCTATATCCATAAGAGACTTTCAGAGAATTGATTTTTATGAATTTGGAACCATTTGATCCCTTGGGAGCAAGGAAATTCGAAAATGTCCATATTAAGGACCACCCTAATATATATATATATATATATATATATATATATATATATTAACATCCTTCGAATTATTCATACTGTTTCATTGCTGGTGTGCTAACTGATTGTTAACTTTTTCATTAATAACGTTGCATGTATAAAACTAATTTAAATAAACATATATGAAGCCATAAACAAAACATATTTAACTTTTATTATATCATGGATATTAAATAAATCTAAAACTTCTATATAATTCTGAATTTATTATTTTTTCATTATATTTTATTATATTATTATTTATTTATAGTTCATATTTAATTATAAATTTTTGCACATCACATAAGAATTTTAAATATATTTCTCTTCTGTTATCACTGTATCATTAATGAATATTACACAAAATAAGCAGCATAAAAATGCACTAAAATATTGGTGACGTTACTAATTTTTTAAATATCTCAGCAAAATTTGTATTTTTAAAAATTTAATATATTTAAAGGTTTGAAAATAAATATCAATATAATTAATTACAGTATAATTTGGTATAAATACGGTACCACACTAGGGGGCCCATTCTGCTGCAAAATAGATAAATGTTATGTAGCAGATTTAACATAAAGTGGTACTAAAAACTAACAAATCCTATGTGCAGTCAGGCGTTTTAGATAAGAAACCTAACCTAGAAAATGCACAAATGTCAAAAAAAAACGATATCAAAACTGCATCTTTGAGATATGGCTTGATAACATGAGCGAAGATGCATTTTATATGTAAAACGCCTGTAAAAATAGCAAATATGGCACTTTAACAGTGTTTAGTAACATTTTGTATAAAACCTGGAACGTAACATAGCCTTGCTCTAACATTGAGTTATTTTACAGCAGAATCTGCCCATAGATTTTATGAATCATGATACGATAGTTTGATATTTAAATTCGCTTTATTATTCTTATATTTTTATGTTAATTTATTAAATTTGCACAAATTATTAATACTTCTTTAATTTAAGACCTACTTATCATTTAGTATACTGATAGTCAAAACAACATATTGAATTTGCGCGTGTATTTCATAAGTGCATATAAAATTTAAATTTTTGATTTCAGATAATTCTTATTCATTTCATTATATTAAAAATATAATTTTAGATTTTTCGATATAATCACGTTGTTCGAATTCTTAAGCGTTCCTCAAAGCTGTGGGGATTCAAGTTAAGCTGAGATTTCCTCGTTTTATTTAATCAATTTGTAGCTCAAAAGTGGTTTTAACAGGAGTAAAGTTCTTTCTTCCATTCGTCCTCCTAAATGTTGTTGTATTTAAAATGTTTACATGGTCCAGGAATTTAGGATGTTTATCGGCTTTGAGTTTGGCCACATAACCTGGGTCTTCGCAGATTAACTTCAATTGCTGCTGGGCGGACGCAGTCACTCTTTGTCCTTGACATATTCCAGTGTTCTTATCTACTAAGATTTGTTCTGAGTGGACGATGGATACATCGAAACGTTTTGTACATCTTCTTAGGTGTAAGTGGCTCAACTTTTCATCTTCATTATACTTCTCATTGTGATTACATCTTTTTGTGGTAATGGAAGGGCATCCAAAATTACTCGCCGCACATGTAATTACTATTGCACTTAACAATAACAAAGTTATTGTTAGATCCAACATGTTTTTAAATTTTTTATCTGAAATTGATTTTATAATTTTTTTACGGAAAATTTTGAAAATATTTTGATAATATTTTTTTTTGTTATGACAAATTTAATGATGACTAGATTACAATGCATATTAATTATATTATGACGGAATTGTCAACTGCGTATTGGTATAGTACTTTTGTGAGTTAAATGGTCTCAGTTGAAATTGATATATTCAATTAAAATTCGAAATGCATGAAATTAAAAATGTTACCCGATTGAATAAAAAATATTTTATAATATTTTTATATTTTTAAAATATGATTTTTAAAATGTGTAACGTACGTAATATAATGATAATTATCATTTATGGTACAATTGTTTCATTGACTGAGTACAAGAGATTAGTCCCTTAGATAAAATAAACAATGATAAACATATAATTAAATTTCATGTCTTTCGTAATATTTAATTGACATACAGACAGTAATTCAGTAACTCTGCTGAATACTTTTATTAGGGTTACTGAATTGAATCGTAACTAGTTGGTATTGGTATTTAGCCTTGAGGCAAGTTACATGAACTTCCCGATATGTGTAAATAATCGACTTAGTCAACAATAAACAAATTAATTTATGAGTGATTAGAAGTATTCCGAATAGATTTATTACACATAATTGAAAGCGAACGAACACGTTAACTCGTAGTATTTTCTATAAGCAAATTTTTACAATTACTTTTACTAATTTTACAATTTATAATTGAACCAGTTTTAGTAGAAATGGTTTAGTATGTTCATTAAGACCAAGTAATCTATCGTTATACCAAGTAATCTATCGTTATACCAAGTAAATCATCTAATTTTTATTTTAATAAACGTCAAAAAAACTACTCATTTTCTCAAATTTTGATGAATTTTTAAAATAAACTACTTGTCGTAAGGCCGTAATATTTCAGTAAGTTCTATAAAACCATGATATATATCGCCAAAAAAGTTACATAAAAATCGGTTTAAATTTTCTTTTTCAACAGTTAATTACAAGAAAACAGCTCGGTAGATTTTCACCTAAAACTAATCAGTATTATTCCTAACTAATATCTTTCGAACACTTTTTGATTCTTTAAAATCGATTTGGTAAAATGAACTTAAATATGGACGAAGAGTTTAAGGTAAAGGTTCTGTTGCTCCTTTTTACCAAATCCATATGCTAGCTTTTATAGAAACTATATACAAAAACTGTTGAATCTAACTTAAAATTAACAACACATCTTATAAAAGAATTAAATAATGCATACTTAAAAATTATATTGAGGTCTCGTGAACTAATTAACAGTGCTCATAATAAAAAAAAAACCAACAACGAAAAAAAATACTTTTGTTAAGGAATTTCAACCATTGCCGTTTATCACCTTATAGCAATATCGTAGGGATCAAGGTGAAGGCTAATTGTACTAACTACTTTCAAATAATGTTGTTAAAAAAATCCTAAATTTACTTGTTTCTGGGATATCTGCGGTAGATCTTTTTACCGGCAAACCTTTAAATCTCGCCCTATCCTATACCTTTCATCAAGTACAATACATAAAATTATATCTTATGACGATTTTTGAAATATATTAGACAATGGTGTGCTAATCAGTAACGTACTAAACTCTTTGGTCAAATTTTTTTTTTTGCATCTAAATTAAAATTGTTTAAATTGAATTATAATTTATGTGACAAAATATCACAATTTAAATTTCAACGTTTGGATACAATGTTTGAATGATTCAAAAAACATTCGATTCCTATTGATAGGAAGATGTGCTGATTAGGTTTTGGCGAAGAAGAGGCCAGCCGTTTCGAAGATACAGGGCAAAAAGTGCCAAAAACGTAATTCAGTTTTTTAGGGAACGGAGCGTCCGATTTGAATGATTCAACAAACATTTTACTTGTATTGACGAAATTAAGAATTGATGAAATTTGGTAAGGCACGTCTAGTGGTTTCGGAGATACAGAGGAAAAACTAAAAAAAAAACGATATTTGGCGATCAAAAATGATCATGTTTAAAAATTTTAATTTTAAATTTACAATTCAGTTTGAAAATGTACGAATTTCAAATGCGTTATTGTAATCGTAACAAGTATAAGTTGGATTTTTTTTTTGCTCGATTCATAAAATCACTAGTTTTATGTATTTTTTCAAACTTCTTGTAAAAAAAACTGCAGTACCAATATACCCTCTTATCTCAAGTATATAAAACATTTCAACAAAGTAATAAGGCAATTCATCCAACTCCATAATTGGAAACGGGAATTTAATAAATAAAGCACCGGTTATTAATTTAGAATTTTTGACTTCTATAATCTCTTTGTTCTTTGAATCGGTATTAAATATTGTATGTAGGGTCTCGGTGTAATCTTCTGAAAGTAAAGAGCATACGCAACTTTCTTTACATGGAATGAGAGCTTTTGATGTTGCCACAGGGAATAAACGCGTTCATTGCATAGGTACAAGTTATGACTTTTACAATCGCAGGCAATAATAAAAATTTTAATTTTGACAAAAAGAAATAAAATGTACATATTTCGCTTTGAAGATGATTATTAATAAAGAAGAATTCACAGGTGAAAACATCTCGAAATCAACTTTATTATTAACATTGCGCACGCATACGTAATATAAAGATGTAATATAAAAAATAAGATAAAAAATAGACTTGGCCAAATATTCGTCGATTAGGCAATCAGTAATAAACAATATAACATAAACTCTAAAATGTGCAATATAGTATCTCTTGATAACTATTACAATATTCCTTTACAATATTGAAAAAAAGGTGGATGAAATAATTTGCACATATAACCGCTATTATAGAGAAACTTTTCTTCAGGAAGTTAATAATATATATATACATATATATATATATATATAGATGTATATGACTTGGCCAAATATTCGTCGATTAGGCAATCAGTAATAAACAATATAACATAAACTCTAAAATGTGCAATATAGTATCTCTTGATAACTATTACAATATTCCTTTACAATATTGAAAAAAAGGTGGATGAAATAATTTGCACATATAACCGCTAATTATAGAGAAACTTTTCTTCAGGAAGTTAATAATATATATACATATATAAATATATATATAGATGTATATATAAATATATATATATATATATATATATAATATATATTATATTATTAACTATAAACAAGTGATTTCAGGATTTTTTTAACAACAATATTTGAAAGTAGAGAGTACAATTAGCCTTAATCTTGATTCTTACGATGTTACTACAAAAGTATTTTCTTTCGTTGTTAGTTTTTTTGTGATTATGAGCACTGTTGATTAGTTTACGAGACCTCAATATAATTTTTAGGTATGAATTATTTAATTGTTTTATAAGATGTATTGTTAATTTTAAGTTAGATTCAACAGTTTTTGTATAACCTTCTATAAGAGCTAGCATATGCATTTGGTAAAAAGGAGCAACAGAACCTTTACCCTCGCATATGAATAGTAAATAAAAAAGTATATTGAGTTAAAAAAAGCAATTTTATATAGATAAATAGTTATTCCAAGTGTGCTAATGAATATTTCTGATGAAATACCAGATCAAGATTATTAAGTTTGGTTTAGATAGTATAAATAATTAAAATCAAATTGGACCTTTGTGCCCCGCCCTGTGCTATAATCCTACCTGATGACGATTGTTGATCATTTTCACGATCCAATTCAGTAACCTTAATAAGAGTATTCAGCAGAGTTACTGAATACAGTAATTCAGTATGTCAATTAGATATTACGAAAGATATGAAATTTAATTATATGTTTATCATTGTTTATAATTGTTTATTTTATCCAAGGGACTAATCTCTTGTACTCAATCAATGAAACAATTGTACCATAAATGATAATTATCATTATATTACGTACGTTACACATGTTTAAAATCATATTTTAAAAATATAAATATATTATAAAATATTTTTTATTCAATCGGGTAAAATTTTTAATTTCATGCTTTTCGAATTTCAATTGAATATATCAACTTCAACTGAGACCATTTAACTCACAAAAGTACTATACATATACGCAGTTGACAATTCCGTCATAATATAATTAATATGCATTGTAATCTAGTCATCATTAAATTTGTCATAACAAAAAAAGATATTATCAAAATATTTTCAAAATTTTCCGTAAAAAAATTATAAAATCAATTTCAGATAAAAAATTTAAAAACATGTTGGATCTAACAATAACTTTGTTATTGTTAAGTGCAATAGTAATTACATGTGCGGCGAGTAATTTGGATGCCCTTCCATTACCACAAAAAGATGTAATCACAATGAGAATATAATGAAGATGAAAGTTGAGCCACTTACACCTAAGAAGATGTACAAAACGTTTCGATGTATCCATCGTCCACTCAGAACAAATCTTAGTAGATAAGAACACTGGAATATGTCAAGGACAAAGAGTGACTGCGTCCGCCCAGCAGCAATTGAAGTTAATCTGCGAAGACCCAGGTTATGTGGACAAACCCAAAGCCGATAAACATCCTAAATTCACGGACCATATAAACATTTTAAAGACTACAACATTTAGGAGGACGAAGGGAAGCAAGAGCTTTACTCCTGTTGAAGAAACTGTTGAACTACAAATTGATTGATCGATAACAATAAATCGAAGCGTAACTTAAATCCCCACACCTTTGATCGAAGCGTAACTTAAATCCCCACACCTTTGAGGAACGCTTCAGAAATCGAACAACGTAACTAAATCGATAAATCTATTTATATATATATATATTAGGGTGGTCCTTAAAAGGTCATTTTCGAATTTTCTTGCTCCCAGGGGCTCAAATGGTTCCAAATTGATAAAAAACAATTCTCTGAAAGTTTTAGCTCTTAATATTAACGTTTAGATAGAGCGCAATTCAATCAAAGTTTGTATGGAAAGAGCATGGAACAATTTTTGAAAATTTAAAAAAAATGTTTTAGGTATAACTTAGCGACAAATGAATGAGTTTTATTCATTCATTTGTTCGCTAAATTACATCTAAAAAACATTTTTAAAATTTTTTAAAATTTTTCCATGCTATTTCCATACAAAACTTTGATTGAATTGCGCTCCATCTAAACGTTAATATTAAGAGCTAAAACTTTCAGAAAATTGTTTTTTATCTATTTGGAACCATTTGAGCCCCTGGGAGCAAGGAAATTCGAAAATAACCATTTAAGGACCACCCTAATATATATATATATATATATATATATATATATATTTTGGAGTATGTATATATACATACGCAAACACATATAAATCAAAGAAAGACATAATTTTAATCCAGTCAGATGTTGAGCGTCATTGTCACAATCTTGTCGAAATAATCAGTTCAAACACATATCGCGTCTTCAAAAGTTTATTTTGAGCGTGGTTCTGTCATGTTTTTTGAGGACTTTTTTATTGTTCTTTGTTATCACTTATGTTATAATCAATGAACTAATACCATTACTAGTGACTTCCTTCAATTTTATTGCAATCAACAGGTTCATGGTACAATTTTGATTAATTATTTATTTTTGTTCACTTACGGACAAAATTACATACTTATATAATGGACAAAATGACACAGTACTATTTCGCAAGAATTAAAGGGTAGTTCATTCGAGGCAAAAAAAAGAAAATTGAAACCTGTCAAAGGTGGCTTTTAACTTTTACTCTACCTACTTCTAAAAATAGACCAAAAAACTTGTATTTATTGGAAAGATCTCTTTTTCTAATCTGAGCTCAGCAAAAATTGGTTACAATGTGTGATTGGTATCCTTTGGTACTGAACGATTTATTTATGAACGTCCTTTTCAAAAATTAGTCCCAGAATATCCTTACCTTATATGTCATTTTATCCATACTATATAGACAAAATAGTTTATGTAATAGGTTGCAAAAAGACAATGTTACTGATAGTCAATAAACCTAAGATAAGGAAATCCATGAGGTATGATCATTTTATAATTATAAAATGAAAATCATTAAAAATTCAAACACCATGTCATATTTTGTCGGAGCTTCCCCAATAAATAAAAATTATAATAAAAACGCTGAGTAATTTCAAAGTAGTAATTAATCTATATTATACTTCTATATAATTCATCATTTTGTACAATGTTACTAATTAATTTAAATTTCAGCCAGAAGATGTTCGTACACTAATTGGAAGGAGTAAAATGAATAGCGCTGCTACAAACTATAAAATGGCAATGAGAGATGCCGAAGCAGCTTTAGGTATATTGATTTAAATTATAAAATAATTTAATACTGTTAATGTTTTAATTAAATTGCATTTGCACTCAATCGAATAATTTAAATAATATTTATGGATTTTTTATTTAAAACAGATAGTGAATAATGAATAATTAAAATTGAAAAAAAAGTGATTCAATATAATGATAAACAATGTAACACATAATTATATGTATGTTGTTTTAGCATATACAAAAAATTATGAATACGTTATTCAATGAAAGAGAAATTCAGAGAAATTCAGATATATATGGACAAAATAACACAGTGGACTTATTTAAAAATTTTCAAGGGTAGTAACGTTTTCGCGACTGTACAACGTTAAAAAAGCAATAATTACAATCCTTTCAGACGTTGATCGTCATTACTACTTGTCGCAGTAATCAGTTCATTTTATTTTGATGGTGGTTTGATCATGTTTTTTTGGAAACCTTGTTATTTGTAATTAAAATGAATGAACCCATGCCAATACTAGTAATGTTAATCAATATTATTAGAATTAAAAGGTGTCTGATGAAATTTTGATTGTTTATTAATTTTTGTTCATTTTTCGAACGAAATAACATACTACAAAGGTAAGCACTACAAGGTAGTAAACTCTAGGCCAAGAAAGAAAATTGAAACATGTCAAAAATGATTGACTTTTACATTAAAATCTAAATACTTCTAATAGCACATAAAAAATTCACCAGTAAAAAAAGGAAACTTGCATTTATTGCAAAGATGACTTTACCTATTCTGAACCGACAAAGGTTGTTCACGATGCATGATTTGTTCCCTTTAGGCTCATGTGAGGATGTCCCAAAGAGGACCAACAATTTATTTGTTAACTGTCTTCATAAAAATTATTAGATTAGTATGTCTTTAACTTACATGTAATTTTGTTCATGGACATAATAATATATGTAATACATTTCCTTTATCCTTAATATGTTACTGTAATTGCTGCTTAATTGAAAGTTAATGAATCTAAGATAAGTAAACAAATAAAAACGATTAAGACTATTCATAATGTCAATAAATATATAGATATGAAGTGAAATAAAATATCGTGTTATTTTGTCCGTACTTCCCCTACATGAGAATAATTTGACAGCATATTGTTATATTACAATAATAATAATTTATATATTCTGTTTGATCAATAAATTTAAATAAATTTATTTTAAATTGTAGAAAAATGGCATCAATGTTCTTTTCAATATTTAAAAAGAATATTTGGAAAACCTACTATAAAAGGATCTATATATCAACATTATTGAAAATATTTTCTTTCAGAGAGAATTATGCTATTAAGCACAATCATACTCATATTATTTGAATACTGTTATTTTTACAATAATGTAATAAACTTACTAATCCGGCATAAAATTTGATTTTGGATAAAAAAGCTAAATTAACTAAAATGATAAGAATAATAATTAATTTTTAAGTTTAAAAAAAATATTGATTTTTTTAAACAAACATGTATAATAAAATTTTACATCCGAGATGTGAGTGGCTCAGCTATAATAAACAATAGAATACTCGTATGAAATACAATATTTGAAAGACTTTTTATACGCTGTAGCAAAAAAGTACGAATAGAAATCTATTTTTAGATGCTTTTTCTTCCATTGCTTTCAATATTTTACTAACGATATTTACATAGGATCAGTTTCTGCCTTTATTTTCTATAAATAACTTTTATTAGAATAGATGACTGATATGAATATAGTAATAATAAATCGCATGTTTATTTTAAAACTTGTATTTGATATTGATTACTCTAAGAATATATGTAGTTCATCCTAATATAATAAAAAAACATTCTAATAAAAATCATTGACTAAAAAATATTGTATTAATATAACAAAGTCTCTGAAGCAGGTGAGCAGGGTGTGTCTAAAAATAAACCGGCTACTACTTTGCTTAGAGATTATTTAAAATATGTGAATAATTTACCCATCGCATTTACTTAAGTAATTACAAAACTTAATTGAATATTCAAAGCTCTCGATCCCGGAAACCTGTTGGCTGCATATCAGCAAGCTCAAGCCAAGTACGAACTGGGCGATTTCGAACAAGCCCTAAACTTGTACCACAGAGGCTTACGACGAAGGAAACAGCCGCCAAACTTCGCCGAGGGCGTAATGCAGGTCAGGAACGACGTTTGGGCAAAATGTAGATTTTTTTTTCATTTTGAAGTTTTTTTTTCAAGATTTTGTTAATAATGCTGTGAAAACATTATTATTCTTAGTTGTTTTATAAAAATAATGGTTTTTGTAATTTAATTTTTCGACGTTTTTTTTTGAAAGTTACTCGTTCAGTGTGAGAAATATTTACTGTCAGAAATAAAATTTTAACATTTGTTATTTAAGCAGCTTATAAAATACCAAATTAATATATAAGGAACATTTTTGATTTTTTTATGTTTGAATATTCAGAAGTAAAAACTAACAATATAAAAAAGGGGTTTCATAATTTATGCTGTAGACAAAAAATCGACCGACTGAGAGACGTATATCAAAATGTATAAAATAATTTTTTGTATTGCTACTGATAGACTTTTGATATTTACTTAGGAACCGGAAAGATCCGTCGCCTATATTATGAATTTAATCATCTAAATATATGTTTCCGAATATTTTGCAATCATCGCAGACTCTAAGAAACTTTTATTTCACTATATAATTTAAAACATTGAGTTATGAGTTTGACAAATAACATAGAATTTTAAAAGAAAAACCCAGTGGTTCACCTTTTATTAATGTACTAAATTATATCTTAATTAAATTTTGATATTATCTAGTAAACTTGAAGATAATATATTTAGTTAAAATATGTATTAAGTGCATAACAATAGTAGAAGTAACCAGTGTTACTTTGAACAAAAATAATTTAATTGACTAAAACAGACAAATATTTTGAATTTATAATAAACCAAGTAATTTTACATGTGGCATTTTATCTTAAAACAAATATCAATAACTACCTGATATGTGTATATAATCACTTATCTAATTAGAAGTAAAATTTAGGGGCCAATCGTCGGATCAAATAAGAATGTATTCAATGGCTATGTATTTTCCATGCGTTTTATACATAAAACCTAACCTACAAAACGCATTAACGTCAAATAACAATATTATCATAAGTGCAACTATCTGATGTCTCATTGATAACACATATGTGAAGTCAGGTTATGTGTGTGAAACGCCTGATTGCACAACAAATTCATAGATCTTTTGCAGTTCTTTACTATAAATTCATATAAAGATATTCCCGTAACATATCATTGTCGCTTGGTTATTTAGGTAACATTTTTGACTAAAAACAAATCAATGCGATTTAAAATTGATATTTTCTAAAGATATTTATAAAATATGTAATTATATTTATTATAGTACACAAGCACGGCCTGTATGTCCTAAAAGCGCTGCCCTTTATTACAATTTTTTTGAATTTTTTATTACTCCCATTTTACGTATACTTCAAATATTTTAATATGTATGTTTAGAGAATTAATTCTATGTTAGGTTTCATGAAAAACTTAAAAAAAAATTCAACATTTAATTAACAATAAACTGCTCGACAGATTTTATCCACAAATAAATCAGCACGATAACAAACATTTAAATAAAATTAAAATCGGTGCAGAAACTTGGACAAAAACTTCTACACTTTTTTCTAGAGTACCGACTCAACTGATCATCTCGCAAAACTAACCAACGCGACTCTTTCATGTTTGACCGAAAAGCTTCAAATTTTTGAAATCAGTACAGAAGTTCGACTAAAAATCGGCACATATATGCATACTTCTAAACTTTATTTCTGTTAGATGATTTAATATGTCGAGAAAACATTAAATTTACAAATTGGATTTCTAGCAAAAACAAACTTCTCCATCAATCGGGAAGTTAATAATATTATCAAGAAACGACAATAACATAGTTTTTATTTCTCAGGTACATTTAAGGCAAAAGTTGTATCAAACAGCATATACAAGACCACAGCAAAATTTTCCGTAATTGACGTCTGATCCAAAATAGAAAATACTCTTCTTAACTCAATTGCACTTCATAGTTTAACAAATCGTTCTTTATTGAACTTCCGATAACATTTATTGAATTTTATTTTTAGTGTTCGGAAACGATAGAGGACTGCATTGGTTACAACGTGGGCAGCGTATTGAAAGATTTTGAGTGGACGATAACTGCGATGGATAAGTTTAGGATTTCCGAAGCAGAAAGACTGAAAAACTTGCCGGAGGAAACTTGCGTCGAAGAAACCGACAAAGAGAGGGAAGAACGATTGGTAACAATTCTATGATGTTTACTTTATATGTAAACTTTTCTTAGAATGGAATCAAATATAAATATCCATGTTCTGAGGTTATATAACAAACATATCGGGTAATATTGCAAATATTTTTTTGAAATATGCTTTCCAAAAATTAAAACTTATGCGAACAATAAATAAATTTTTAATTAATTGAGTGTCGGGCTCTTAAGCTTATTAAGAGATATAAAAAATCATATATTATTTTATATAAGTATATTAAAAATTATATACAGTGACACTAAGGAATTTACATAAATACATTTTGAAGAACGAGAAATGGTGAAAAATACAATAATTTGCAAGTCAAATACGTTCGGCGTGGGTTTAGGATTAACATCTTCTCACTAAGGCAAAATAAATTTCATGATGCAAAGTAGCATATTATAAAATTAGTCTGGCACCGCGCATTGACTTTTCATGTCATATTCCTTTTGGTTCGCAATAATTCTAGCAATGCTGAATGAAAAAATACTTTTAATATAGAAACGCTCAGAATAAAATCGCAGGTTCGCAAAAAAGTTGTCTGGATTGGGTGACATATATTTTTCAATATACTTATTACCACTGAACACGCATCTAAGGTCAAAATTGGGTAATCAAAGTCCAATGGCAACAAATTAAAAAAAAACTACAAATTTTCCGATAAAAGTTTTTCTGCATGATAATTAAAAGCTAATAATTTCTGTCGGTTCTTCGTCCTTTGATCCTTTATTGACCTGTGCAACAGATTTTTGCAACACTTTTTTATCTATTTTGAGTATTTTTTTTCCAACCTTCAGCAGTAATTTGCAAAAATATTGTGAGAAAACTGCAAGCATGTTTGTAGATCTTCTAGGGTCTATGGGGTGTAAATGTTTGCAAATTATTACTGGAAGCTGGAAAAAGGTACTCAACATAGATAAAAAACGGTTACAGAAATCTGTTGCATTTCAGGATTAAAGAACCAGGAAACCGACAGAGACTATCAGATATTAATTATCTTGTAGAAAAAATTCTAGATCAAAGATTTTATAGCTAGTCTTATTTCTTTTTAAATTTTTTCCATTTGACCCACAATTTTGACTTATAGGTTCCTCTTCAGCAAGAGCGGAAAAATACATTAGATCATATGTTTCACATCCAATCCAAGCAACTTTTTTGTGAAATTCGATTTTGTCTTTTAATATTTCTTGTATTGTTCATTCGAGTAATTGATTTCTAATATTACTATAATATTCCAACGCCGAACAAAAGTAGCAATATATGTACTGATATTTATAATCCTTAGGGAGCATTGATAGATGCACAAGAAAGACATAGGCTAGAAGTCTTGGGACGTGTAATGGCAGAAAAATATTTGGGACGCTTGGCGCATGAAAAATATTTCCTGAGGACGTTGATCAGCGATTACCGGCTGCCTTCGGCAAATAAAACTGGAGGCGAAACTCTCAAGCAATTGTGTGTAGAAGCATTCCAAGCACTTCAGAACCGACAGGTTTGTACAAATATGAAATAAGGGATATGCAAACATATAGGGGAGACTTGGTTCGCTTATGCCACTTTTTATCAACAATAATTTTGTTAACTTACTATAAAATTAAATTTAATGGTAACTTGAACATTTGTGTACGTGGAAGTACTGAAGTACTTCGACATAAATACGATGGACTAGTCATAAAACCGAATCATACAAGGGTGGTTGTGACAGGCGTAAACAAAGGTTAAAAACAATAGTTATGAACACCAAAATGATTTATAAAGACTTTTATTGTCAGTAATATGTAACACAACATAACATCTTTTAAAGAAAACTTATGAATATAATATTACAATATAAAGTAAAACAGTTTTTTAAACAAGAAATCTTTTATTTTCTTGTTCTTAAATTTTCCTTTGCCTTTCTCTTTCGTATTTTGTCTTAAATTAGTCGTGCTTTAAGGCAAATTACTGAAACTTCCCGCACCGAAAATTAAAATTCTTGAAAAGCCTATAGAAATTTTTGAAAACTTAAAATACAAAATTTTTGAAAATTTTGAAATATTACATTTTTTTTATTAATTGAATTATTTTTTAAATCATGAACATTTTTTTAAAGCAATCGTACTGCGTTACTGTTTTGAATAAGAAAAATCGAAGCGCGTAAACGCCGCACCGCAGTCTGATAAACATTAGCACGGAACTCATATGTCTAATGATTTTAACCACCAAATGGCATTTTTTTCATACGATCTCTGAAACCGCTGTACCTGCCTTTCCAATAATTTTAAATGGAATTCATTTTGTACAATACAAATAAAATGTTTTTCGAATTATTCCAATCGGACGCTTTGTTCCCCTATGATCTAAATTACCATTTTGGACTCCGTATCTTCAAAAGTCCTGCGGCTAGTCCTGCTTTTGCCATAAACTAATCAGCACAAAACTATCAATACGAATCGAATCGAATGTTTTTTTTAATTGTTCAAATCGGCTCATCCGTGTTCCCGAAATCGTCGACGAAAATTTGTATCCGCACACATGCAAACACAATAATGTACACACATACACATTCAACCATTTTTTCTAAGATATGCTAAAATGTCCAGAAACATCTAAAAAGTAAATATATATACAAATTTTCATTTTTGACTTTTTTGTGATTACTATAACTTATCGTACGGAAAGTTAATAAGTTAGATTTTTCTTTATCTGTTTAATCTTCGCCCAAAAAGGATAAGAAATACATGTCACAGTATATACATGTCACATAAAGCAAAACTACCTGCCGGTAACTATAACTACTAATTTCAACTTGCGGCAAAATAATAAACAAAGTGATTTATCTGTATACTAGTGCAGTCATTAGCTTTGATTAGGTAAGGATCTCTGAATTCGAGATACACAGCTGTAAGTCTGTAAATACTTGTAAATTGACACCTATAAGTTGTTTAAAAACCTACATACGGTAGGGTGTACGCAACATATGTAGGCTTTGAGACAACTTTAGGTGTCAATATACAAGTATTTACAAACTTACAGCTGGGTATCTCGAATTCCGAAGTAAACTTACTATAATCACTGGACTATACAGTAATAAAAAATCTAACAAAAACTCACTTTTGACTCTTTAAAAGAAATGCGGTCTACAAATCGTGTTAATGTAAGGCTCTGACACAAAGCAATAATGGAAACTTGTTTCAATAAACATACTTCATCTTTCACGCTTTGGACCCGATCTCAAAATCAGCATAGTTTAGTTGTTATGACGACTATCACTACCAACCCTGACACGACCGTACCCAATTCCCCTATTATTGGTAAGATATGTGAACCTGAATTAAAGGTATTCACCTGAAGTGCTTCAGATCGTATGTGAGCATTTATTACACTATTACTTTAGGAAGTACTTCGAACAAGACGCCCATGGTACAGCGTCAAGTACAGGGATTTAGTGGACTCGGAAAGGATTCGTATGAAGAAGAAACAATTGCTCGAGAGATCAAGGGCTGTCGCCAAGATCGACGCAGAGAAATTCGTAACACTCCTACGACAGGCGAGACAGGATAGAAACATCAAGGTGATGTAACTTTTTTTTTTTTTTTGTTTTAATTTTTTATTTGGCCTCGCTTACTGTGAGCATTTAGCCACCTACAACATTTTTGTTTATTTACATTCTAATTTTTTTATATCATTTTCAATCTATTTATGTATCCTATTCTATATTCTTCTTAATTTTTCTTCTCTTTGTTTCCTTCAATTCTTGCTCTTTTTGAAATTCCTAATTCTATTTAACTTTCAGCTTCATTCCACTTTTTTTCTTTATTCTTCTTTTAAGTTCCAATATTTCTCTTCTTACTCCTAATTCAATTCAACTATTCGAATTCTTTCAATCCTAATTTTTCTTAATTTTTATTCAAATTCTATCCAAAAAGTACAATTTTTATTTGATTTCTACACATTTTTTTTTCATAAATTCTAAGTCATTGACAGGATTTGAACTTATTATAAAAATATTTATTACACAAAGTTGTAACTTTGTGTACCTATGTGTACGCAAAGTTCAATTTTATTTTGAATAAAAAAAAAACATTATGCCAAACTTATGGTATATCGCATTACAAAAAAAGTTTGATGATTATAGGAAAAGGTCATCGTAGTAAATGATATTTTGATTGCCTTAGTTATTGCTGTGTGCTACTAATGAGTATCTGCCATGATCTATAGCATTCATTAAAATAAATATAATTATGATTTTTGCTATAGTAATTGAGTTTTGGAAAATCAGTCCGGTTGTTCATAAATCACAAGATTTTTATGTACTTTAATTTCTAATAAAAATTCAAAATATTTATGAAATTGTATTTTATGCGTACCGTCTGTCCACATTTTATCATGATGTCAGTACATTAAAAATCTTTAAATTTGTGTATTTATTTTTTTCGCTTTAAGGGGCAGATTCTGTCGTGAATTAGGTCAATGTTATGGCAAGGCTATGCTATGTAGAGCTTCTCATACAAAATGGTACTAAATATTAAAAAAATTGCCATGTATTTGCTGTGCGATGAGGCGTTTTACACATAAAATATAAAATCAATCATTGTTTTTGGCAATTGTGCATTTTCTAGGTTAGGTTTTTTTATCTAAATCGCCTGACTGCATAACAATTGCTGTGCCACATGGCATTTGACAGTATTTAGTACCATTTTGTATGAGAAGTGCTCCGTAATATATAGCCCCTAAGTATCAATGGTCTATTATACGACAGAATCGACTCTTCAGTCTTATAATTATTATGAATATTAAAATATCAAAAACACTGAATTACAATAACTTGAATTGATATTTGGATTTGAGAATTTATTTCGTACATCGGAGTCAATAATCAAATTTTCCGAATAAATTTTGAGCATTAAAATATTCGATATACTTTTGTTAGAAAGAAGTTGGTACATTTGAACCTTCATATATATATATATATATATATATATATATATATATATATATATACCTTTGAACATTTGAACCTTTATATATATATATATATATATATATATATTATGTGAGGAAAAGGGGGTAATATAAACCCATATGCACATTGCGTCACTGAAACTTTTAGATAATAAAACGGTCAATAAAATTTTAGTCCTTGCATAAATATCAAAAATGGAAATTCCGTGCGAATTATTCCAAGCGTTTTAATTCATCGAGAAGAAAATTCAGTGTTGCTAAGGCACCTCCAATATTAATAAAAATAATATTAATCTATCTCAATCTGAAGCAACTTGTTCTAAAAAAATTCTATTCGATCTAACATTAATTCAATCTATTCTGAATGTTAAAATTATTTAATATGTTGCCTATATGACAGTCTAAGAATAAGACAAACATAAAACTATGTGGTAATATGTTTAATAGTAACAGAAAAATTATTAAAACGAATTTTTATAATATAGTTCTGCCTGGAGACGATTGACAGGGCGAAGGTATTCATGGATTCCAAAACTAAAAAATCTCTTCCAAACAAAAAAGAACTGATGGATACAATGTATAATATTGCGGGTTTGACGTATCTTCAAATGTACCGAATAAATCCCGATATGGGTTATGAGGCCAACAAGAGGGTACAGTTTTTGTTCGGACAAATGTTACACAGTTTACCGACGGAAGACTCGATCATAGATATGAAGTTCCCTTATGTGGATTATAAGTGAGTAAAATTCACATGTATATATATATATATATATATATATATATATATATATATAGATATAGGTTAAGGTCCAATTTGACTTTGAGCAATTATATTGTGAAAACCAAAAAACTTACATCATAACAAAAAGCACATATCAAACAAACAACAATGTGTTATTTTTTTCTGTTTTTCAGAAAATTGTCACTTAAAACTTTTTACCTCACAGCTACGTTATTCAATCAATGCAAAATATGAATATCATAGGTACATTTTTTACAGACAAAATACTGTAAATAACCTTGATCTAGTATTTCGTCAGAAATAATCACCAGGATAGGAATAATTATTTATTGAATCTCTTGTAACTATTCCACTATCCATTTAATTTATCTCTTGTAAAATTGCTTTTGTTAGCTCCATTTACTTATTTTTTATTGATTACACCTTTGCCAGGATAAAGGTTTGGAGCGTGATCCTCTTATCTCACACACATGTAAGCTTTTATAGAGATTATTTTAAAAAAAGTTGAATCTAAATTAAAAATAACAATGTTTCTTATAAAACAACTAAATACAACAACCTAAAAATTATATTGAGGTCTTGTGAACTAAACAACAGTATCCACAACTAGGAAAAACAACAACAAAAGAAAACACTTTTGTTAATGATTTATCTTGGTAATAATGGTAATGATACTTCTTTATCCCTCTACTTTCAAATATTGTTGTTAAAAAATTCTTAAGTTTACTTTTTGAGATATTGGTGGTAGACTGCAAGTTGTTTAAATATTACAGGTGTATTTAAATTAAAGCATTGATATATTATTGATCAATTTTTAGATAAATTAAAATTGCTTTCAGGTAAATCTGAAAATAAAACTTTTCAATAATAGTGTCACTATTATAATAAAAAAAATATATATTTAATTGATATTAGTCCATTTATATCTCAAACTTATTAGTTTTATTCAAACCGGCTAAATATATTCTGTGAAAAATTATAGAATTATGTTGATTTATAAAAGTGCCTTAATTCATTATGTATGATAATTAACTTGACTCATCAATTTACTATCTCTGACACATTTACAAGAACTTATAAATAGACAAGAAGTTTGAAACAAGCACCATTTTTATTTTTCATAACCACCCACTTTTCTTTTTTATCCCGGAATTAACAAACCCGTAACTAACAAGAAATGATTATAATTTTTTTTTTCAAGTTAGTTCAATTCAAAATTATCGAACAGTAGTAAGTAGTAACCTCAATAAATACACAGATATTCATTTAATATATAGTACAGAATTCTTGGTATCATTTTTGTTTGGTATTTTTTTTGAGCAAAAAAAGTGCAACTCGGTGTGTTTTTAATACTATCATTACATTTGTTGTGCTAATGCAAATTCAAAACTAAATAATATAAATGTATATATATATATATATATATATATATATGTATTATTTCATGACCAATTATAATGAATATTCGTGTTTGATACCAGGCACTAAAATTAAACAAAAGAATCATACCTGCCGATAGAAATGTAATACTTTTGCTTTGTAATTACGTTTTGCGAACATTATTCCAATTATTAACTTTAAATCAATTATAAAAAAGTATTTTCGTTGAATTTCATGTATTATTAAATTGCAAATTTCTCTTTCCATTCCAACTCGATGAAAAGTTTTGAATAAATATTTTATCGTTTCATTACAAGGCTGCAAATGAGCTAATTAAAGGCCATTAGAGCGCGAGGGATTAAAAATGTATGAAAATGAATCAATGGTACAGTGCAGTAAATTATATGAGTGGAGGTAGAAGTGAAACAAAATTTAATGTTGCAATTAGTAAATATTTAAATTATTCATGTGTTACATGATTTATATAATTACTTTGTTATATATGAACATTTAAACAAAGTTTGTAAGAGAAAACCGCAAATATTCAAATCAGTTTCCTCGGCTACGACGCTGCCTTTACGTTTCCAGTTCATTAATACAGTTATTACCATTATGATTAATTTTTATTTTTTATCTGAAAAATAACATTTCATGAAAACAAAATCTATTTAAATTATTGATGAATATTTTATGAAATATTGATTCTGTGGTTCAAAAAGCTGGAGGCAACCCATCGGTTAACCGTTCTCCTATGTGTGGTCATGGTGTTTATAATAGATATGTATAATGTATGTACTAATTACATGTGTATGTGGCCCCAATTTCCATAATTTCACTTGAGATTATATTTGAGATCTATAACCTCAATTTGATGTCATGCTGCCTGAAATCGAGCCAACTGAGGTTGGGAACGCCTTGGGAGACTCAGTGCTAACATCCTTAATGCCCGGGCTCATATAAAAAGAACATAGCAACATTTTTAAGATCTTAGGGTTAATAAATATATTTTTGTTTCATATAAAATTTATTAAGATCGAGTAAATACGGGAAATAAACACATTTTAAGATAACATATCACGTTGAATTAATTATATTGATTACAATTTCAATCAATTATGTTTAGAGTAACCAGGGCTTAAAGGTCCGCGAGTAAAAAATCCACCACCGATATCTCGAAAACCATTAAAGTTAAGAATTTTTTAGCAACAATATTTTTAAGAAAAAAGAAAGATAACAAAACATAACAAAAGCATTTTCTATCGTTCTTAGTTTTTCGATTGTGAGCACTGTTGTTGTTTGTCTCACTTGTTTGTGAGACTTTAATATAATTTTTAAGTACACGTTATTTAATTATTTTATAAGATATCTCGTTAATTTTGAGTTAGATTCAACAGTTTTTTATATAACATGTATAAAAGCGTACACCCTTGGTGGGGAAAAATAGACCAACTGATTCCTTGAAAAAGACCAAATAGACCTTGGCAAAAATGTAAAAATAAAAAATAGAAAATCAAAAAGTAATTTAAGTTATAAAAAAGCAATTTTCAGGAAATAAATTGAATAAATTGTTATTTTGTAAAAACCCTTGAAAGTTAATATGAATTATTAAACCTGTCCGCCCCTGGCCGTTCCAATTCTTCCCGCCTATGGGGTAAAAAGGATCATGTAACAAATTTTTGTAAAAAAAAAACAGGAAAAAAGCACATTTTTACAATAATGAAGCTCTCAAATCAAATGATTCAGTAAAACTCGAAAACGGCTAAACCGATTTGGCCAGTCTTAGTCTTGAAAAATTCGTGCCAATCCAGAGATGGTCGGAAAGGTGAGATATTATTTCAAAATCTCGTAGAAACTTTACATTTTCAATTTGAAAATTTTTGTAGAAGCGTAATTTAAATAAAATAATGGACGGCGGCTAATACGTGAAATGTCAAACGTTTTTGACAGATGCTGTTCAATTACGTTTAATAGGATGTTTTATGTGAATATTATTTAATTATGATTAAATTGTAGTAAGTAGTTTTGTTTGTAGTTTTATTCATATACAAAAACGTTGGTAAACAGGCCGTAAGTGTTACTAGAAACTTAAAATATCAACTTTTTTGAAATGTTAATATGAAAATGCACTTTTTGGCATATTTTTCTCAAACACGGTGCTCTGATAGACCTCATTTGTATAATTATATACTCATTGGTATTCATAAAACATTTGCTAGGTTATATTATTTTTTATTTATGTTATTTAAATTCAACGTTTAAAATTAAAATAAGACATTAAACCTGTTTGCCACCTGGCCCTTCCAAATTACCCTGTCTTTGGGGTAAAAAAGTCTAGATAACAATTTTTTTAAAGACAGCAAAATCAGCACATTTCTACAATGATGAAGTAGCTGGCAGTTTCACTGAACGTAGTCAAATAATTGTTCGTTTGAAATGTGTTATTTGTTGTAATATAATTGGTTTTTCATAATACAGTTTATATTTGCTCAAAGTCAAATTGGACCTTTGTGCCTCGCCCTGCTCTACATATATACTTTTTATTAAATTTACTTCAATTCATCGAATGTTACTTGAAAGTTTTCAAAAAGCAGGTAAAAGAAGAAATACTTAATACATTTTCTATCTAGAAATTTGAAAATTTTGTATAAGCTCAGTAGTATTATTTACAATTATACACAAAATCCTGAATCAAAAAAGAATCTGAAAAACTTGAAACGTAAAATGACTTGGATTGGATTATACCATGTTTTCTATAGAAAGTGTATAAAACTTGCAGTTTGATTGTGTTGATAAAATATAGACAAACTAATGGGGTTTATAGCATTCAAACAACACATCCTTATACACTTAAAGTATTAATTTTTTTGATTCTCTAGAAATTGTTTAGAATATACCTTACTTAGCAAAACAACGTTTGCCGGGTCAGCTAGTAACAAATATAATTTCGTTTTGCTTAATTTTCTAGAAAAGCGATTCGTACGGCCGAGACGCGCGCCGATTTATCTGCGGACCGTCTGGAGCGTGCCTTCTACTTCCACGAATTAGGCAGGTACTACATGGAAATTCATAAGTATGATATGGCTAAAATGTACGCGAAGAAATCCATGAACGATGCCACTTTCGCAAAGAATTACGCCTGGGTAGTGAACGCGGCCATAACATGCGCTCGGGCGGATATAATGGTGCACAACCGAAACGACGCCAAGAAGAATTTACAAGTGGGATTAGATGCAGCGTATCATATGAGGAATGATACTGTTATTGAATTTATAGAACAGTGAGTATTATTTTTGCTATTGCTAAATCTGATCAGGATATTTAGAAATAATAAAAATATAGCTTATTTTTCCTTGTCGAAAGAGCAAGGGTAATATGTTTTGTAGTGTAGTATATACAGTTCTGATTTCCATATAGACTAGTTAATGATCAATTTTGTCCAATATGTATAAGTCAATTAATTTGTATTAAAATATGCAAGATCAACAACATTAATACAAATGTCTGATCACAATGGTTGCTCAAAAATAATAACAAGACAAAACTATTTTGGAATGCGGTATATAATTGTTCGGTATTACATTTAAACTACTTATTGATCAATATCATCATCATGTAATATATAAATGATTTAATATGTATTAAAAATATGCAAAATCAATAATATTAATTCAAAAATCTGATAATGATAATTGCTCAAAAATAATGAAATAATTATTTCTTTAGATTTTTGCTTGTCCAAAAAGCAAGGGTAAGTTTTTTTTCAATGTAGTATATATTGTACTATCGATATATCATGTACTGTATAAAAGAATTAATTTGTTTTAAAAATATGCAAAATCAAAAATATTTATCCGAAAATCTGATCATGATAGTTACTCAAAATTAATAAAAGTGTCGTTACTTTAAATTTTCTTGTCCAGAAAGTAAGGGCAAACTTTTTTGCAGTGTGGTATATATTGTTCGGTCTTTCATATGAACTAGTTAATGATCAATTTTGTCATATATTGTATAGGTGAAGTAGTTGTTGTCAGAAATATTCAAGATCATTAACTTAATTAATCCGAAAATCTGATCATAATAGTTGCTCAAAAATAATAAAAATGTCGTTTCTTTAAATTTGCTTGTCCAGAAAGCAAGGGTAAACTGTTTTGCAGTGTGGTATATATAGTTCGGTCTTACATATAAACTATACTTAATGATCAATTTCATCATGTATTGTATAAATTAATTAATGTGTATAAAAAAAATAAGCAAAATCAATCATATTTATTCAGAAATCTGATCATGAGAGTTAATCAAAAATAATAATAATGTCATTTTTTGTAATTCCTTTTTCGACAAAGCAAGGGTAGCTTATTTGCAATGTATACCATATTCTTCTATTTTGCATATGAACTAGTATCAATTTTGTCATATATTGTATAAGTGTTTAGGATTAATAATATTATTCCTATTAGAATATCTGAACATGATAGTTGCTCAAAAATAATAAAAATGTCGTTTCTTTAAATCTGCTTATCGGAAAAGCAAGGGTAATTTTTTTTTAGCAATGTGGTATATATTGTTTTGTTTTTCATATGAACTAGTTAATGATCAATTTCATCATATAATACATAAATGAATTACTTTGTATTAAAAATATGCAAGATCAATAACTAAATTAATCCGAAAATCTGATCATGATAGTTGCTCAAATATAATAAAAATATCAATTCATTAAATTTGCTTGTCCAAAAAGCAAGGGTAAGCTATTTTGCAAGGTGGTATATTGTTCTATTTTATTTAGTAGTGTTTTGTTTAATCAACATATTTATCACCATCTAATAATTATTATTATTTATATATATATATATATATATATATATATATTAGGGTGTCTTTAATATGGACATTAAATTTCCTGCACCCAAGGGCTCAAATGGTTCCAAATTTAGTGCAGTAAACGGAGCGTTTTAGGTCTGAATTTTTTTTACTGTGCTCCGAATTGAATGAAATTTTGGAATTAGGTTAATCTTACTCTCAAGTTCAAAAGTGAAAACAATTCGGGTTGCGCCATCACCCCCCGGGGGTTATGACACCCCCTTCTCATTTGTATAATTACATTTTTTCAAAATAACGTCGGAAATCGTTAGAAGAACTAATTATAATAAAAAAATGTCTCTTATAGTTTTTCAACAAACTAATACTTTTCAAGATACTGGCCACTAAAGATTCATATATTTTTGGCGTTTTTCTTCGTTTTTTTTGCAAATATCTCCTAAAATATACATTTTAACGAAAATCATGTAATGAACAAAATAATGTCAATAAAAATCTTAATAAATCGGTATTACATAAAGTGTTCTAGGAAAAATATTAAGCAAGATTTGAAAGAGCAAATTCGTTTTTTCTTTCGTTCAAGATTTAATTGTTGTAGTTAAAGCCACCTAGTGTCGAAGTTTTGCATTTTATGCATTTCAGTGAAATTGGGTTTTATAGTGCTCAACATAAGCTTTAAAATGAGTGCTGTAAGAATTTTTGTGCATGTAAAATGAGTGAGCTATCATGCAAATAAGAAGCGTATACGAAGTTTTTTTCTGTTAAATCATATGGTTTAATGAGCGCCATTTCCACCAGAATTAAAGTAATTCACATTCCATCTGGAATTCACTTTATTATAGACATCTTGATGGATTCTAGCAGATTCACTACTTTAGTACAAACTATTTTCAGAAAACTCACGATTTTATAAAAACTTTTTTTTCCAATTTGCGCGACCGCGCACTCTTTAAACCATCATAACTCTGTCAATTTTTGTGTGAAAGAAAAATAATAAAAAGCAATAATAAACCAGAAACATCCCTTTGATTTTTATCTATATGCTTTTATACGTATCTTTCATTCTTTTTGAGATATAATGAAAATAATTTCCATTTTTAAAAAAATCAGAAAGAAAAGTTTTTATAAAATCGTGAGTTTTCTGAAAATAGTTTGTACTAAAGTAGTGAATCTGCTAGAATCCATCAAGATGTCTATAATCAAGTTGAACTTGAGGGTAAGATGAACCTAATTCCAAAATTTCATTCAATTCGGAGCACAGTAAAAAAATTCAGAGGTTATACCCTTTTTGCTCTCCGTTTACTGCACTAATTGATAAAAAACAATTCTCTGAAAGTTTTTATAATAATTATTATTTTTTAGATTTGAAAATATGCACAATGCACTCTGTTTTGCACTATTTATTAGTCAATATTAATATAATAAACGTTTTGAGACAAAGGTGCGTCTCATCAGCAGTATAAATTTAAATGAATAATTCTAATTAAATATGGTCACGTATTCCTCACAAATTTCGTATACAACTGATTTATGAGGAATACGTTACTATATTTAATTAAAATTAGTAACAGTAGCATTATTCTCAGTGCTCAGTGCTCAGTGCAAAATGAGTGGAGTGAGTTCATATTTTCAAACGCAAATACAGTTTTAATAAGTGCATCTTTCTGATATGCAATAATAACATATGAGTGAAGTTGCATGTGTTTTTAGTACCATTTTACATAGAAAACGTTGGTCTATTTTACAACAGAATTGGCCTGTCAAGTACAAAAATTGAATTATAAAATTGGAATACGTCGTAAATCACAATCACAAATGATTTTACTGGTCTTCTAGATAGCATTTGAAATTAATACCAATTTTTTTAAACAAATATGAATTAAATTTCACCGGAATGTCTTATTTTAAATCAGTAAGAAAAAAATCAGGGATATGAACAATATAATGTTAAAATGAGATTCAGAAAAAAACTCTACTGATTTGTGTAAATTTGCACAATTTTTGAATGTCGGAGAAAAAGCAAATGATGGAGTACTATCGAGAATAGCATAAAAAATCCATAACTCCACTGGATATACATCTGAAGCGAAAAGGAAATTCGATTTGACGCGTATTGCAAAAAGAGTTTCTGTTGAGAGATAGAAAAATTTTTGTGAAAAAAATGTAGATGATTGACACACAAGTTAAGTGAAAAATAGGAAAAAGAGATACTAAAGAAAACAACAAAAATATGATACACTCTCATAATCGATATGATTCTGAAAGAAACAATTTTTCTTATTAACAATAGTAATAGAATGCCTAAAAATAAATCAATAATCATAATTTTAATTTTACGTTGAAAAATAATCGCAATACTAACACTTTGATTCTATTTACATTCGTGATTTCTCGACTGATAATCATCTGGCAATAATCGTTCCTAAGTATATCTGAATGAAGCACGTACAGTTTTTATCCGAACAATGTGAGGTGGTTATGTGCCCAGTGAATTTTTAGGCTGCGTAGGCTGTTCTAACCTCGTTTGTGTTAATACTATATGTACATGTACATCTATAGGGCAGGCCCTATACACAAACTCATTTAGGATTCCATAAAGGTAAGACGCACTTTAGCCGTGCTTCTAAAACCCAAAATACGATGATATTTGTAAAAGGCAGAAGCAAAATATCGCATGAAATAAAGTAGGCAAACATGGGAATAAATATAATTCATTAATGTTTTTTTTTTAAAATTAAACTCAGTACTCAAATCATAATCATATAATTCGGTATAAAAATGAAAAAAGAGAATATTTTGAATAACTACTAATACCTATTATATATACATATTTTAAGATAATATTATATTTATAGCAATTATGGTCGGTAACAATAGTGTGAATAAATGAGATAGATGGCAGCACATCTCGATAGTCTATGAAGTTAGCCCTACAAAGCCCCCAGTTCCACATGTGGAACACGAACTTTAATCGTTTTTATAGCTATAAAACTACTATGAGCCTTGTAGGGTTAGAATTAATGTATTGTTTGGATTAGTTTTTCGTTTATAATATCAAGTTGAGATTAAGTTTTGGAAGTAGGGGGTTAATAAATAGAGAATTATTGAAAGAGATATTAGTTTTCTAATAGAATTTGCAAGAAATATTTATACATAAAACTGTCAATTATCACACGTTTTAACAAGAATTGTTGTAAGTGTAGTTGTAATACATGTGGCCCAATCAAAGAACTAGTCCTTAATAAGTTGCAATTTGAAACTATATTGCTATAAAAGTATTGCGATAAAAGATTACAAATTCTATCTATTTTGTATTCCAAATAGTTCATAAAAAAACTACCTGTACAGCTTTTTCATTAAATAAATTAGCTAGGTGTTCAGACATACATAAACGTATATGCGAATTTTTAATCAATTTCATTAATTTTCTCTGTTTACACAACGCTTGATAATGAGAATAGATGCTAATTCTAATTACCAAGCGTTGTGTATGTGAAAAAACAGTTTATATATATATATATATATATATATATATATATATATATATATATATATATATATATTTTTAAATAATTAAATATCCATACCTATAAATCTTTCAAAAGTTTGCTTCAGTTCTTATTGTTCCTCGAAACTTCCCTCTTGTTTTTCTGAAAAGATATTGCGATCAATATTACTTTGTCGTATAATTTTCAGAAATTAAATCATATCAGTAAAATCATGTCAAAAACATTAATATCATAATACAATTAAAACACATCATACCATGAAAATAAAGCTTAATAAAGCACATACATATTAATGGTATTGCATCAACACAGTAGTCATAAAAGTCTCCTTCAATTCGAAAAATTTATCAGAAAATATCAAGAAATAATTTTATAGTGTATTTTTTCTGTAAACATGCAAATTTACAATGAAAAAATTAACAAAAAAATAACCATAAAATTTGATTTACTTCTTGTTCTACTTTATCCATTAAATAAAATTATATTATCCATGTAATAAAAGTAAATATATTCAAGATATAATGGCCAAAGTAGATTTTCCAGTAAAATAGACCTTAACATAGCGTTGTTATGGCAACGAATGTTACGCTCCTTTCTTCATATAAAATGGTACTAAAAACTGTCAAAATGCTATGTATTTGCTGTGCGATCAGGCGTTTTACACATAAAACCTATGTACACGTTTGTGTTATAAGTGCTTATCAGAAAGATGCAGTTCAGATAACATTGTTTTTTTTTAATGTTTGTGCGTTTTTTAGATTAGGTTTTATATCTAAAATGCCTGACTGCACAGCATATACATAGTATTTAGACAGTTTTCACTATCATTTTATGAGGAGAGTAACATAGCCTTGCCATAACAACGCTCTGTTACGGTGTCAATTTTACCGAAGAATTGACCCCATAATATCTTGTCATTATGTTTTTATATGTTATCGTACATACACTAAAGTATTCAAGAAGTCAATAAAATATTGACATATATAAACTTCCTTTTTGCTCATGCTGCCTAACCAGAATATTAAAATTTAAAGATATTTTCTTCAATAAAACTTGAAGGAAAGAAAAATAAAAAGTCAAAATTATCAACGCTTAATGTGATTACAATAACAAGAATGACTAAAGATTTAACCTTTTGTGAAGGTACATTATGTCAATATAATAAAATACAATACATATACAATAATATGAGATTCAAATAAAAGTTATTATAATATGAATATAACCCAAAGGCTGTGTTGTTAGATTTTCCATTTCATGAAGACTATTAGTTCAGAAAGTTCAGAATTTCCAAAATATTTCAAAATAAAATTCTTTCAAGAAGTCTTTTCAAAAAAAAAAAGTAAATTTTTGTCAAAAACTGATAGTTTCCTAAAAATCTAATTTTTCAGAGTAAATTTTTTTCAAAAATGTTAATCTTTAAAAAAAAAAAAATTTTTGGTACGGGGAAAAAAAATGGTTCCAGAAATTTGCCTTAAGGCACGATGCTATGCGCCCCACTAGTTTTTTTATATTTCTAGACTATTTCATAGAATTTTCGTTTTGTTCTTTATATAAATTATTCGTAATGAGAATGCTCGTTGAATCAAGTTCCACCGCATATAAAAGAGATGATTCCACAGTATACAAATCTCACTTACTCCAACCACTTTTTTATATTTATATGAGGCATAATACATAACGCATTTTAGTAACCTTTGGTATTCTCAATGCAAACACATTTGTATACATAAGCTGGCGTAAAAGTAATGTTTCACGGCAAGAAACACATATATACACGAAACGGGATTTACGCAGATCGCGGTTCTGTTATTCCTAATCTACTAGGATGTATTACCTAACAGCGTTACAAGCGGGTAATGTTATTTAATGCTACCTACGTATACGTACAAAAGCTATAAATTAATAATGCTCTATCGCTCGCTTACTAAACTCACCCGATGCAAAAAAAAATTCAACACAATAGCTCTGGAGATGAACACGTACGCCGTGCAGAACTAAATCTACGGTTTAGCCGAACAAATTCGATCTCGTACATATGGTTTAGAGAAAGATGATAGGGTATCGTAATTTCATTTTAAACTAATCGCGGTCTTTGGTTAATATAAAAATATATCAAATTTGAAATTAGTAGCTTATTCACACGTGGCTTCAGTAAATCCTAGTGATAAATTTATGAGAGGAAGATATTGTTGCGCCAAGTCTTGGGTTTCCAAGATATTGGTAGATATGTAGAGGAACCTAATATGTGAATTTGGGCTCTTTCTTGAGTTCTGTTATCAAATTAAAAAAAACAGTTAAACACTACATAGATGTTTTTAACTTCCGAAGAAAAAGTTCATGTTTTTTTTCTTTTGATAAGAAATCAATCTACATTTTTGGTATACATTAGCTGTTGTGATGATTATTTCCAAGAACAGCTATTAGAAAGAAACCACATTTTTACGTAAATTTAACCTTGAAAAATTCGAAAATGAAAATTTTCATATATCTTTCCGTTTCAAACGTTTCTAAACATTTTGGCATACCTTAAACAAATAGATGTATGTATGTGCGGATACAATTTTCCGTCGACGATTTTGAAAACCAATGAACCAATTTGAATGATTAAAATTTTTGAAACATTCGGTTCCTATTGATAAGGAGACATGCTAATTAGTTTTTGGCTAAGACAAGTCCAGTCGTTCCGAAAATACGGAGAAAAAGGTGCCAAAAATGGTAATTCAATTTTTGATAAAGCGAAGCGTTCGATTTGAATGATTCAAAAACATTTTATTTGTATAGACGAAATGAAGTAAAATTTTCGGTAAGGCACGTCTAGCGGTTTCGGAGATCCAATAATAAAAGTAAAAAAATGCTATTTGGCAAAAATTGGCAAAATTGTTCATTATACATATGCACATCAAATTATCAGGTATTTTATAGATAATTTAATAATAAGAACAAATTTTGTTTACATTTATATGAGTTCCGTACCAATGTTTATCCGTTAGACTGAGACGCGGCGCCCAAGCGCTTCTATATTTCATATTACGTATCGCGAGTGTTTTAAAAAAAAGTTCAAAATTTCTAAAATATTATTCGCCTTGAAATTTAGTTTTTCTGTTTAGAGCGTAAAACTTTCATACTTATTAACTAATAGTACCTTACAGTAAATTAAAATTTTCAATAAAGTTAATTCAAGTTTTTATAATATTTAAATTTTTTTGAGTATTTTAAAACTTTTCGAAACGATGGTATTGCATAGCTGTTTTGCAAACAAACTAACGAAGCTCTCTAGCAATTAGGTAATACAAATCTTGTTTTTTTCTATAAAAATGTAAAAAGAGATGCACTTATTATTAACATCTCTATAAAATAACTTATAATTTGATATGCATGTGTCTAAGGATAATTTTTAACCGCCAAATGACTTTTTTCTTTATTTTTTTTTCATATGATCTGCTGGACCAAAAATTTTGTCAATTCTATTCCGTTACAAGTGAAGTGGATTTTGAATCATTCAAATCAGAAGCTCCGTTCTCTTAAAAACCAAATTAACATTTTTTTTCACTTTTTGCCCCGTATTCAAATCGACTACACCTGCCTTTGCCAAAAACTAACCACATCTGCTCGTCAATAGTTTTCCAATGTTTCTTTAATCATTGAAATCGGTTTAAATTTGGTTTTGAAAATTGCTTTCGTAGACAAAAATTTATATCCAAACATACGCAATACACATACATACACAAATAGATCAATTTTTTTCCAAGGTATGCTAAAAATATCAGAAGCCCTTAAAATGTAAAGATATGCAGATTTTTTTTTTGCTATTACTATAACTTACCCTACGGTAAATTAATAAGAAAGAATTTATTTTCTAATTGTATTGAAAAAACAACAACTTTTTATAAACATAATAAACTAACATTATTAAAATATAAAAATAGGTAAGAATAAAAAAATAACGAAGGAACGAAATAAACATTTCTCTATTTGAGAACTTTCATTGTTTACTGGTATCAAATCAAACATAGCTACAACATTTTATATCAAATTTGTGATATAAAATGTTATAGAAATCGTCTATACCAACATGGCAAACATAAACATGATTTGCCTTCGCTTTATCTACCAAATAAATTTAGCATAATTCTTTACTAAATCACATTTTTTAGCCAATGACAATGAAATATTTCCAGGTGTATCTCCCACGTGGAATCGGTAGACTTTGCCGATATGATAACGGAAGGTGGCGTCGAACAGCGCGAGAAGCAAATCGTAGATATGATGATGGGAACGGGAATGAAGGAAGAAGCCGAAAGTCTGTTCCGCAGGATGTCAGCCTTGCCTGCGAATAGACGATTGTCCGTGATGCCGGGAGTCAAGGCCAAGGACGAAGAGAGCAGGGACGCCAAAACCAAACCGAGGAAGTCGATTATGCCCCCAAGTGTTACTCAAGTCAAAGATAAACCTGATAAAAAGAAACCGAAAGGATATCAAGAATTCGATTTATAATCAACTACTGTAACGGTATGAAATAGTTTACATGTATGTAGAACTTTTACAGATTTTAAAAATGAACCCGAAACGAATAAAATACCTGGGGTTTTATAAAAATTGATAAACTTCCTTTCTTTTGATATGCTTATGTATATTGGCAATCAAAATATACATTATTTTTTAAGACAATGTGCTGGTCTTTAAAGAGTTTATTTCCAATGACATATCTCCTTTTTTAACATTTGGTTTTAAATCGTATGGCCATTTGATTAATCTTTGAGATTCCTCACTCAACGTTTATGCAATTTGTATTATTTAGTAAAATCAGTGATCTCAAGCTAATACATAACTTTTTCACAGTTCGTTACTCCCAATTGATACGAATATAGGCCCGTAATATAGAGTTGCTAATACATTCCTAATTTATCCGGAAATTGCCCCCTTAATAAGATTTTACAAAAACAACCCTACACTTTTACATCATTTAATTAAATTCAAATAATCTTTAAATATAAATTTTACGCACCACTAACAGCAAATTGACTTAGAATATTACTTTTTTACTATAATGACCTTTTTTATATAAATTCCACTAGTTTTTCAGAAAATTTTAGTAAATTTCATGTAGGGCAGGGAGAAGCTTAAGAGCCCGCGGGTAAAAAGTTCCACCACCAATATCTCAATAACAAGTAAACAAGTGTTATTTGCAAGTAGAGGGCAAAAGATGTATAACCAGGTATCACTTTGATTCCTACAACGTCGCTATTAGGAGATAAACGACAATGTTTAAAAATCCACTACAAAAGTAATTTCTTTCCTTGTTAGTTTTTTTTGTTGTTGTGAGCACTATAGTTTAGTTTATGAGACCTTAATACAATATTTAAGTATATGTTATTTAATTGTTTCATAATATGTATTGATGTATTGTTATTTTTAAATTAGATTCAACAGATTTTTTTATATAAAAGCTTACACATGTTTGGGATAACATTAACAAGGACCAACTGAAACTTTATTCCGGCAAAGGCGTAAATGATGAAAAATAGTAAATAAACATGTAAATTAAGTAAAAAAAGCAATTTAACAAAAGTTAAATTAAATAAATAGTAATTCAAACTTTGCCGATGAATATATCTGATAAAAAAACAGATCAAGGTTATTTACAGTGTTATCTCTGTAAAAATTGCACCCATAAAATTTATTTTTTCTGAATAATGCAGCTATAATTTCATGAAATCCCTTCAAAATTAAAATAAGACCACGTTTGTCCAATAGCCGTGCCAATTTACACCGTGTATAGGATAAAAATGTCCAATTTACAAATTTTTGAAAAACAGCAAAGAAACACATTTCTACAATGGTGAATTAGGTGAGATTTTTACTGAAAATAGTCAAATAGTTGTTGGTTGGATTTGCGTTAGTTGTTGTGATATATAATTGGTTTGTTTTTCACAATATAATTGCTCAAAGTCAAATTGGACGTTTGTGCAACGCCCAACCTATTCTATTGTATAACCTTAAATAAGATTTTATTACAATTACCTTTGACTTTGAACGCACTTAATAAATATTCGGTTTATATGCAGGAGATATGGTCAACGCATGATTTTAAATTAAAAAAATGTATATTTTTGTTAAATTCAAAATTGCCATAATATTTAAAAAAAAAATAAAACTAGGAATACCAAAACTTATAACAAATAAAATAAATTTTCAGTCAAGTTTTGTTTATTCCGCTACTAATTTTTATACGATGTTCACCAAATCTATTACAACTTTTGTAAACCATTAAATAATCTGAGATTCTTCTTTATTAAAAAAAGAATGCCAGAGCACAAAGCATAATGCATTCCACATTCTTCATTGTCACATACTTGGATAATCTTATATTCAAAAATTTAAATAATTTCATAAAAGTATCACAATAGTTGCAATATACTATTAGAAATACTTTACAGACTACTCACATTGTTTCCTATTTGTATTAATTAACTTCCCGTAGGGCAAGTTATAGTAATCGCAAAAAAATCGAAAATGAAAATTTTTATATATCTTTACGTTTCAGAGGTTTCTGAACATTTTGGCATACCTTAGAAAAAATGGATGTATGTGTGTGTGTGTGTGTGTGTGTATGTGTGTGTGTATGTATGTATGTATGTGTGTGTATGTATGTGCGGATACAAATTTTCGTCGACGATTTCGGGAACACGGGTCAACCGATTTGAATAATTCAAAAAACATTCGATTCGTATTGATAAGGAGACGTGCTGATTAGATTTTGGCGAAGGCAGGTCTAGCTGTTCCAAAGATACGGGGCAAAAAGTGCCGAAAACGGTAGCTCAGTTTTTGAGAGAACGGAGCGTCCGATTTGAATAATTCAAAAAACATTTCACTTGTATTGACAAGATGAAGAATCGATAAAATTTTCATGAAGGTAGGTCTAGCGGATTCGGAGATATGGAGAAAAAAGTAAAAAAATGAGCCATTTGGCGGTCAAAAATGATCATTAGACATATGCTCATAAAATTATCAGATATTTTATAGAGATTTTAACAATAAGTATACAATTTGTTAACATTCCTATGGGTTTCGTACCAATGCTTATGCTTTAGACAGCGACGCGGCGCTTACGCGCTTTATATTTTGTTCCTATGCAGTTAAAGCAGTACGATTGATTGCTTTGAAAAGAAAGTTCAGATCTTCCACAATATGTCAAAATAAAAAAAAAAATTTTTCAAAAAAAAAAAAATTAAAAAAAAATTTTTTTAAAAAAAATTTTTTTTCAAAAAAAAAGTAATTTTTTGTCCAATTTATAGTTTCTCAAAAATCTTATTTTTTCAAAGTAATTTTTTTTTTCAAAAATGTTAATCGTTTTTACAAAAATAATAATTTTTGGTACGGGAAGTTCCAGCAATTTGCCTTAAGGCACGATGCCTTAATTGCCTTAAGACAGAATTCCACTTACAGCTAGTTTTCATATATATTCACTTTGATATATACCAAGTATGTCCGATTCGAAGCTCGGTATATAATATGCATGGCACCATTAAAACTAATTTGTTTTAGCTATAACTTTTGATAAATAATGAATGCTACAGTGTTTTAAATAAATTAAGTTTGAAGTAGATGAATCGTACGTCCGTATTAGTTATATGCGAATATAGTACCATGATGCAAAAACTTTTCAGACTTCACTAGTTGAAGTACATAGAGCACATGCTTTATTAATGAAACAACGTTATTCTAGAGTTTAAATACGATTTATGTATTTTATAAATTAAGTAACTCCCACAAGTGCATACTATCATAAGTTCATTATAGCTGCAAAGTTGAGAGTTATAATCTCCATCAAGTGCACACAAGAATCAGTATGGTTTAAATGTATTATTAATTTATATTAACATTGAGATAAATGGTAAAGTAGGCAAACATATGCTATGTTTGAATTACAGATTATATATTATATTTAACATAATATTGTACTTATATATTTTAACCAAGGTAAAGTATTGCAAAGTTGTACATTTGTATAAATAATGAAGAATGAATTGATATTCAGAGTTATTGCTGTTACTTTTTACCTATCACTTGTTGTTGTAAACAATGTTGAAGTTATCCGCTGTGTTATTATAATATACAAGTTCAAATTAGTTGTTCTACACATTTCTTCATGTAAAACTAATTTCTAATATAAAATTTGTTCGTCAGCAATTACTTCATTTCTCTAATAAAAGTTAGGTATTATACTATTCACAATGAGACACCATTAATTCTTGCAAGAAATTTTATTGTCAAGTTTTGTTTAAAAGAATCCCAAACACTGATTGATTTTTTATATGTTTAATAACAAAGAATCATTCTTCATTTCAATCAACTACGGGATATGAGATCACAATTGTTGCAGTTTTCTCATAAAATATAAATAATTTGCAGAGTTTATTTCATGTATATCACTTCAAGTTATCTCAAACGAATCTTGTCATATTTGAAGTATGATAGTAATTAAATTTTTGTTTTAAAAACCATGAGTATAGTGACTGAGATTAATAAATAACTAGTCGTATAAGGCATTGTGCCTTAAAGCAATTTGCTGGAACTTCCCGTATCGTAATAAAATATTCGAGGAATATTAAAGAATATAGATTATAATTACTGTAGCTTTCATTATTCTTATTTTGTAGACAAAATATAAGAGTGTATAAATTGGACAACAACGTTTATATATGTTTATATGAAAAGTCAATGAACAACACTTAATCAATCAAATTTAAAATAAAGGGCATTGTCTAATATTTATAAGAATTTTATAAACTGAACTGCAAAGTTATAATTATATTATTAATTATATAAGTCAGCTTTAGAATTTTAGCTAGAATTAGAATTAAAATCCCAACTATTTTCGACATTCAATTTTTTGTTTTTGAAATGAAAAAAAAAATTTAAAAAAAATCCCAAAAGCAATCGTTTCCCAGCACAAGCAGACAGTTTTTTAAATCATTCAAATCGGAAGCTTATTCTCTCAAAAACTGCAATTTTCTGCACATTTAGTTCTCTATCTCCGAAAGGGCTGAACCAGCCTTTGCTAAAAATTAATAACCACTTCTCCCCATCATTACGAATTGAATATCTCTTCGATCATTCAAATCAGATGCTCCGTTCTCTCAAAACCTTGATTTCTATTTACTGCACTAGTTGCTTCGTGTCTCCGAAACGGCTGGACCAACTTTTGGCAAAAACTAATAAGCTTGTCTCCTTGTTAATAGGAATCTATTGTTTTCTGAATAATTCAAATCGATTGTTCCGTACCCCCAAAATCGTCAACGAAAAATTGTAGCCACACATACACACACATCCTTTTTTTTGTAAAGTATGCCAAAATGTTCAGATACCTCTGAAACGTAAAGATATGCGAAGGTTTTCAATTTTTGGACGATTAAAATAACTTACCTTAGGGGAAATTAATTACATTACAAGTGTTGCCATATTAGCAATAAACAAAATTTTAAATTCCTATA